CACTCCACTGGCTCTCACTCCAGTGGCTCTCACTCCAGTGGCTTTCACTCCAGTGGCTCTCACTCCAGTGGCACTCACTCCAGTGGCTCTCACTCCAGTGGCTCTCACTCCAGTGGCTCTCACTCCAGTGGCTCTCACTCCAGTGGCTCTCACTCCAGTGGCTCTCACTCCAGTGGCACTCACTCCAGTAGCTCTCACTCCAGTGGCTCTCACTCCAGTGGCTCTCACTCCAGTAGCACTCACTCCAGTGGCTCTCACTCCAGTGGCTCTCACTCCAGTGGCTCTCATTCCAGTGGCTCTCACTCCAGTGGCTCTCACTCCAGTAGCTCTCACTCCAGTAGCTCTCACTCCAGTAGCTCTCAGTCCAGTGGCTCTCACTCCAGTGGCTCTCACTCCAGTAGCTCTCACTCCAGTGGCTCTCACTCCAGTGGCTCTCACTCCAGTAGCACTCACTCCAGTAGCACTCACTCCAGTGGCTCTCCATCCAGTGGCTCTCACTCCAGTGGCTCGCTCTCACTCCAGTGGCTCGCTCTCACTCCAGTGGCTCGCTCTCACTCCAGTGGCTCGCTCTCACTCCAGTGGCTCGCTCTCACTCCAGTGGCTCGCTCTCACTCCAGTGGCACTCCAGTAGCTCTCACTCCAGTGGCTCTCACTCCAGTAGCTCTCACTCCAGTGGCTCTCACTCCAGTGGCACTCACTCCAGTGGCTCTCACTCCAGTGGCTCGCTCTCACTCCAGTGGCTCTCACTCCAGTGGCTCGCTCTCACTCCAGTGGCACTCCAGTAGCTCTCACTCCAGTGGCTCTCACTCCAGTGGCTCTCACTCCAGTGGCTCTCACTCCAGTGGCTCTCACTCCAGTGGCTCTCACTCCAGTGGCTCTCACTCCAGTGGCTCTCACTCCAGTGGCTCTCACTCCAGTAGCTCTCACTCCAGTGGCACTCACTCCAGTAGCTCTCACTCCAGTGGCTCTCACTCCAGTAGCTCTCACTCCAGTGGCACTCACTCCAGTAGCTCTCACTCCAGTGGCTCTCACTCCAGTAGCTCTCACTCCAGTGGCACTCACTCCAGTAGCTCTCACTCCAGTGGCTCTCACTCCAGTAGCTCTTACTCCAGTGGCACTCACTCCAGTAGCTCTCACTCCAGTGGCTCTCAGTCCAGTGGCTCTCACTCCAGTAGCTCTCACTCCAGTGGCTCTCACTCCAGTGGCTCTCACTCCAGTGGCTCTCACTCCAGTAGCTCTCACTCCAGTGGCTCTCACTCCAGTAGCTCTCACTCCAGTGGCACTCACTCCAGTAGCTCTCACTCCAGTGGCACTCACTCCAGTAGCTCTCACTCCAGTGGCTCTCACTCCAGTGGCTCTCACTCCAGTGGCTCTCACTCCAGTGGCTCTCACTCCAGTGGCTCTCACTCCAGTAGCACTCACTCCAGTGGCTCTCACTCCAGTAGCTCTCACTCTCTCACTCCAGTGGCTCTCACTCCAGTAGCTCTCACTCCAGTGGCACTCACTCCAGTAGCTCTCACTCCAGTGGCTCTCAGTCCAGTGGCTCTCACTCCAGTAGCTCTCACTCCAGTGGCTCTCACTCCAGTGGCTCTCACTCCAGTAGCTCTCACTCCAGTGGCTCTCACTCCAGTAGCTCTCACTCCAGTGGCTCTCACTCCAGTAGCACTCACTCCAGTGGCTCTCACTCCAGTGGCTCTCACTCCAGTGGCTCTCACTCCAGTGGCTCTCACTCGAGTAGCACTCACTCCAGTGGCTCTCACTCCAGTAGCTCTCACTCCAGTGGCTCTCACTCCAGTGGCTCTCACTCCAGTGGCTCTCACTCCAGTGGCTCTCACTCCAGTGGCTCTCACTCCAGTGGCACTCACTCCAGTGGCACTCACTCCAGTGGCTCTCACTCCAGTGGCTCTCACTCCAGTGGCTCTCACTCCAGTAGCTCTCACTCCAGTGGCTCTCACTCCAGTGGCTCTCACTCCAGTGGCACTCACTCCAGTAGCTCTCACTCCAGTGGCACTCACTCCAGTGGCACTCACTCCAGTGGCACTCACTCCAGTGGCTCTCACTCCAGTGGCACTCACTCCAGTGGCTCGGCTCTCACTCCAGTGGCTCTCACTCCAGTGGCTCTCACTCCAGTGGCTCTCACTCCAGTGGCTCTCACTCCAGTGGCTCTCACTCCAGTGGCTCGGCTCTCACTCCAGTGGCTCTCACTCCAGTGGCTCTCACTCCAGTGGCTCTCACTCCAGTGGCTCTCACTCCAGTGGCTCTCACTCCAGTAGCTCACAAATTCTCTCACACACACTCTTATCACACACACGCACACGCACACACACAGTCTCTCTCACAGTCTCTCACACTCTCTATCCTGTCTGATTAGACTAATGTTTTCTGAATCTGAGCCGGATGTGTTGATTTACCCGGATCTGGCGCTGAGTAGGATTCATCCATCTCGAGATCATCAGACGCTGATTCAAGAGCACATGATAAAACCAATCAAACAGTGAGATTCAGAAACAGAGTTAGATTCATAAAAAAAATGTATATATACTGTATATATATATATATATATATATATATATATATAAAAAGTATATCTTGTCTTACTCATTGCAGAATCAAATGCCATCATGGGAGCCGCTATTGCTAAGAAAACAGAGAGAAACTGATAAGAGCATAAAACAATCATTCAAACAGTGACATTCAGATATGCAGAAAAAGACAATAAGATGACAATACACATTTAAAAAAGAACAAGAAAAGTTGAGTGAAGTGTCTTTTAGCTGTGTACTTCTCTTACGCATTGAACAACATGCCATCATGGGAGCCATCCTTGCTAAGAATAGAGAGAAAAGCACAAGTATAAAAATAACAGACATTTTAAGAACACATAAAACAGAATCAAAAACAATCGCACCAAACCAGCTACTAACAAAAACACACACGGCTCGAATCAGTCTCAAGAGATTCAAACACTGTAAAGTTGCATTCTTTATTTTCCTATTTTAGTGATTACATCAATGTATTAATATTGAAAAACCATCCGTTTTGTATTTTTATTTACTTGGTTTATCCAGAGCGGCTGTCTTTGTATCACGGCGCACAACACATTTTCATTATATGAACATTTACAGAAACCTCAATATTTGAGTTCAGGACAGCTGTTGCTCTTTGGACTTATAACTGAAGGTCAAAGGTAAGGATCAGGATTGTTTAGGGTTTCATAGTCTCAGCTCTGATTTTTAGGGATTTCTGTACAATATAGTGAGCATACAGAACATTTTAGGCTTCTCGTTATATTTTAAGGGACCATAAAAGTGTGAGTGTGCAAGTTATTTTTTTTAAAACCCTGACTTTGGGTTTGATTATCTCTGGACCAGATAGAAAGCTGAAATTTCCACAGATATAGTGTAAGTCAGAGAGTCTGCTGCTCACAGAGATGGAGTGGGTAGAAATCTGGGGGAAAGCTTTATTCATGTGCTTGGAGAAATGTAGAGATGTAACAAAAGCATAACAAATAATAAAAATGCACTACAGAACTTACATCTGTCAAAATGTCCTATCTAGTCCCAGGGGCGGAGCTAGGGGTGGACAAGGGCGGAGCTAGGGGTGACCAGGGGCGGAGGTATGGGCTGACCATGGGCGGAGCTATGGGATGACCATGGGAGGAGCTAGGGGTGACCAGGGGCGGAGCTAGGGGTGACCATGGGTGGAGCTAGGGTGACTAGGGGTGGAGCTATGGGCTAACCAGGGGCGGAGCTAGGGGTGGACAAGGGCGGAGCTAGGGGTGACCAGGGGCGGAGCTAGGGTGGCCTGGGGCGGAGCTAGAGGTGGACAAGGGAGGAGCTATGGGCTGACCATGGGCGGAGCTAGTGGTGGACAAGGGAGGAGCTAGGGGTGACCAGGGGCGGAGCTAGGGGTGACCATGGGCAGAGCTAGGGTGACTAGGGGTGGAGCTATGGGCTAACCAGGGGCGGAGCTGGGGGTGGCCTGGGGGGAGCTAGGGGTGGACAAGGGAGGAGCTAGGGCTGACCAGGGGCGGAGCTGGGGGTGGTCTGGGGCGGAGCTAGCTTTGGCCACCCTGCTCACAACTGCTGTTTCTGTCTCTTTTTTTATTGACAAGAAATTGAGCATCAGTTCTGGCAGGCCAGGTAGTCGAGATGCTGCTAACGGTCTCGGCCGACAACACTGAGCTGCATCAGCGCATCTGCTGTTCATCTCCCCTCGCTGCTAATGACTACGCTCAAATCAGGGCGCCCTATTTAAGCAGATTCAGTTCGCTCCTAACTGCTCGCTCTGCAATATGAAACAGGACTCGATGTATTCACTCTCCATTCATCTCTGAAAGTCTTCACGAAGCTAAGCTAAGTTTCTTTTTAATGCTCATCGTTAAAAGTTATTAGGATATGGGCACCATGCTGTTGCTAATGCTATCCGTGTGCTTGGGGTTATCTAGTCGTTTTCATTTAAATGCTCTTGCTAGGCTTATGCAATCATATTGGCAATGTGCGTTACTTATCTGTTGTCATTGGCAACTGCTCGCGTTGCACATGCAGTGATTTAGCACTATGCAGCACATATCAAGCAGCTTGCAGTGATAGATAGTTAGTAAATAACTATCTATCGGGCGGCAGTGGCTCAGTGGTTCATGTAGGTTGTCTACAAACCGGAGACTGTGTGTGTGTGTGTGTGTGTGTGTGTGTGTGTGTGTGTGTGTGTGTGTGTGTGTGTGTGTGAGACACCTAACCCCAGCTGTGTGTGTGTGTGTGTGTGTGTGTGTGACACCTAACCCCGGCTGCTCCCGACGAGCTGGATGGCGCCTTGCATGGTTGACACCGCCAAGATTTCTAAGCATTTTAATTGTCTAATTCCATCTCTTGTCTGTCCACAAAAGGTTGCCAGGTATGGTCTGTTTGGGGGGATAGTTCTGCTCTCCCAGTCCTAAACTGTGAGCGTCCCCTAATGCTGCTGCTGTCCTCTGACGCTCTGCTAAAGTCATGGTGCTCATGGAAGGTCAGAGGACTCCCTGAACAGAGCCATGCCGCCACATTTTAATTATCAACTTGAATTGCAATTTATTCAATATAATTTCCTAATCATTTATTGTCTTGTGTGTTCTTGACTTAATGGACCTGACAGAATTGTTTTTTTTTTTAAACAAAGAACCGTCTCTTTAAAGGGTCACTTCACCCATTTGCATTAAGGTTTGTATTGTTAGAAACCCAGACATATATTATAATGATGGTGGAATTTTGCTTGTTTTTTTTCTGAGATGGGAGAAAAAAGGATTTAAGTGTTTTACTTCCGTCCTATCGTGACGTAAATATCGTCATTTTGCGTCACGATAGGACGGAAGATAAATTTCATTGCATATTAAGAAAACTACAGCCTTTAGCTCATTATTATTCAAGGGCGTGGGACCCACTCACCCCACCGGCCTATTACAGATCAGTGGGTGGGACTAAACCTGAAGAAACTAAACTATTAATCCGCCATCTTGCTTGGAAGACAGCAAGCTAAGCTAACAAGCGCTCAAGGAGTTAGATTTACCATAATGCCTGAATTTACGACACACGATATGGAAGACGAGGATTTTAAAAATCTTTTGCTCGAAACTGATGTTCGTGGCTATTTATACGAGCCGCAATATAGCGAAGAGCAGCTGAGGCTGATGGAGGAACAGGAGGCGGACGAGGAGCCCGGACTGGCTCGAGCTGGGCGGACTGCTGGTGCCTGTGCTCTCGCAGTGCGCTACGGACACAGAGTTCGTCTGCTGTAGAGAACTTCAACGATAGCAATTTCTCCTGGACGAAATCTCTGAATCAGACGAGCACACGGACGTTTGTGTTGTGATGTGAACCATCCTCGTGTCGCACCGCATGTTCTGACTGAACCAGGTATCATGCAATAATTCACCATATAGAAAGAAATACAAACGAGGAGTAATTCAGTAAATTCGCTAATGAGTTTGCCAATGTAACGGGGTTCGTTGTTGTGGGAAGAATGAGTTGTTGTCTTACATACAAATGCGCCCAAAAGTTATTTTCTGTCTTTTCTCGGTCAAGAGGGCACCAAATTCAAAATTTCTTTTACATTTCGACTACATATATGACCCACTTTCAATAAAGATTAATGTTGAAATGGGTGAAGTGCTCCTTTAAGACGACAAGTCAAACGAGTGCGGAAATGTGGCGACTGAGTTTCAGCAAAACAACAATGATCAGCGAATAGTAAATATAGAGTCAATGTTTCTCAACGGGTGGGTTTCAAAACCGTTTTGAGTGAGTCGCATAGTGTGCAGTCAAAGAAACAACAACAAAAGTAATTCTCTGTTTTTCTGATGCCACTTTTATTTTGAAAGATGTGTGTGAAAGCTGGTGACACTATGCTGAGAAGAGCACATCGTCCTGAATCAGTAAGCTATCTGCGGTAAGAGGAGATGTTGTCAAAACATCGAACGAACGAACTTCCCAGTCCTGTCAGCCGCTGTGTTTAATCGTGTGTTTAATTTAGGTATGATAGAACTGTTGCAATTATTTATTTTGACAACGAATATAGAAAGTTAAACATTCAATGTTTACTTTTTCAGATGCAAGTTTCTTGCATCTTGCTAAATTCTTTGAATTGGTTGAAGAGTTAATTGATTATATAGTATTCCACAGTGACGTGCGGTGATGTCTTAAAGAGGCTAGGCACGGAGTTATGAAAGCCAGATTATCTGATTTATTGTTTAGGCTAATAATACGTAATAACAGTAAACGTTACGCACAAGCGCAGCATAACAAGAAATGTACAAATCAGGATGTATATCGTGTACTCTCAGAGTCTCTCTCTCTCTCGCACACACACACACACACACACACACACACACACACACACACACGCACACACAAGCGCGGCACAGACACACACCGGTAGATGTCCACTCCAGCATCAGAATACAACCATTCTTAATCCTTAATTTTTGCACAGCGGCCAATTGTGTTTGTCAGTCAGCTAAAGTAAAATCACACACTGCTCAATTGAATATGAAGGCAAATGGCTTGCATTAATTCAACCACATTTATCAATTCAATATTAAGCCCAAAATAGTTTTTGACTCACCAATCGGTAGATTATTTGTACATAAAATCCATCCGCCGCTCTTTCCTCGTAAAGACGTCGATCACAGCTTTGTAAAACTCTTCTTTACGGCCTCCAGTTGCTGCACTAGCCCATCTAAGGCTGGCGTAGACCTCCCTCTTGCTAAACTCAGATTCTGAATTAAAATCGAGCTTGGAAAAATGTCTTAACTCTGTGATCACGGTCTGTCATTTTGACTTTGAATGTGGCGGGGATTAGGCATAGGCTAGCTGTGGTGTAATGACGTTAGCTGCGCAAATGTC